TCCCCTCCCAGCCAAACCCGACCCCCCCCGACTGGACCCAGTCCGCTCCCCTTCCCCTCACTGACCAGCCTCTGTCTCCTTTCCCTCTCCCCCCAAACCCTCATGTCCCCTCCCCCAGCTCGCATGGAAACATCGGAGCGCCCTGGGGGGGTGATAGTGGCCCGGGTCCCCCTCTGGGGACTGGCCCGTTTAGCTGGATCGTTCTAACCTCCCTCCCCTGGCACAGGGGCGCTGAGGGGCCAGGCCAGCAGAACGTGAGCCCCGCAGCTGCCCGGCCCCGTCAGTCAGAGCCTCCGTGTTCTGGGGCAGGTGCCGCTCTCGCTAGGGGTAAGTGCAGGGGCCTGGGAGCCAGGCCTGCCTCCTCTCCCCACTCTGGGAAGGGAGCAGCACCCCCGTCCACTGGGCACGTGTGTGGGCACCCCGCTGATCAGCAGAGTGCCCACAGCCAGCAGCCTGTGTTCTCCGGGTGGTGCACATTTGTATATGTCTCCGTGCAGAGAACAAAATGTAGTCTGCACCCAGCTGGCCCAGATTAGAGGGACCATTGGAAGGGAGTAGTCAGGGCCTGCTGGCTGCGGGAGGGCACCGATGTGGCTGTTACGATACGCTGGTCTGCAGTAAGGTTTTAGGAAGTCACATCACGCTTCTGTGCCTCAGTTTCTCCAGATGGTAAGATGGCTCCGGTGTGGCTAATCACTTGCATGCTCCTCCACTAAACGGCAGGAGCAAGCCCCATGGCTGCGCAGGCACCGTGGGGGCTGGGGTAGGAGTTACATTAGGCCCCAAAAGGCTAAACGAGCTGTGGATAATGAAACGCAGGGCGAAAACGTGTGCTTGGGGGGGAGGGGGGCTGGCAGGGGGCCCCGCCTGTGTGCTACTGGAGACCCTTTGCCCTTGCTGGGGAGGGGTGACTAGTTCTTAGGGGGGGCAAGTCACCAGCTGGGAAAGGGGAGCACATGGCAGCAGCTGCGTGCACTCCCCCCCCCCCCCTCCACTACCTCAAGGCCAACTA